ACGTGCGTAAGCGCTTTGGGAAACCTAAAAATAGCGTCGCGATTATAAAACCTAAGGCAGCGCTAATTTTTGTTTACTCAAAGTGCTTGAGCGCGACACTGTTAGCGCGAACAAGCGATTGTAGTTTTTCGCAGTTTGTCTCAAAGAATGAAATGACTGCCATCAATATTATTAGTGTCTTTGAAAGTGCTCATCTGGGCCACTAAGCTAAGCGGTATACAATTTGGTACCTTCTAAAACCATTTCGAAGTAACATTTAAAAAATCGTGTTCGCGGTAACGTTGTCGCGTCTCGTAGCCCCACATTTTAGGGACCATCTTGACAGAAACATTTCAAGTGGTTCAAGTAGAAATATCTTTCGTTGGAGCTTGTCTGAAAGTGATGTATATTTTAAGAATACGTTGACAATAAAAACTAGTTCACAACATAACTAAATAGCTCGCCGGCACCTTTGCTTTAATTGCATTAACAAAATTTCGGCACCTATTTTTAAGGAGAAAATGTGAGCAAACCAGGGTTAGAAGGATGGAGACTTTTCGCGGAGAGGGTGAGATGTGCGGGGCTTTATACCAATGGGTTTAAACGGGACGGGCGCAAACGTAAAGGTGTTCCGGGAACGGATTGAAAAGGGACAGGTTCTAATGGGAAGGGCGATTCGGGAATTCTCCAATATGAGCCTCAGCCGGTACACGAAAGCAGTCTTCCGGAGCTGGTCGGAGCGCTTGTCACGGTGACCCCTCTGTGTGTGCCACCGAGTGGATTTTCTGCTAGTCGCCCCATTTTTGTGCAACTGCTGTTCTTGCGAAAATGGGTGTGTGGTGCAAAGCGCTATTCCTCCGATCCTATGAACACCAGGCATCGGACGGCGTCTCATCCCATTCACCTTTTTATACGCCCCTATCTATGACATCACGTAGTCAGTAAACATGTGAGTAGTGTTCCAAAACGAGTATTTTTTTTCTGAAAAGAACCGCCGTGTTTAAATAAATTAGTAAGCTAAAAAAAACTTCCAAATGGGGGCGCAGCGGCGCAACCCTTTTGATGGCTCCCTGGGTACCCTGGGCCTCTGCCCTGGGCGACCTCCCGGAACGCCTACTCCCGGTCCTGGTATAAAGTCCAGGATATCGAAAAAATAAGACGTTCTTTTTTTCTTTGGGGCTAATTTGAAGGAGGAACTATTTTCTGCGGTTGCGGTCGTCACGAACGTTTACAATTAGGGTCGATACGTCCTTATCAGTGTTCCAATTTCTTTCTTCTTTTTTACTAACTGTCGCTAAGCCCAGTTTCCACGCTTAATCACGTTCGGAATGTGTCGTTAGCCTACTGTTGTCCTTATTGATGTGTGTTCCCTACACTGCGCCTTCGACTTATCATGAATATATCTATCCCTTTTGTCACCCATAAGAGCGTTGCCTCTTTTACTATTAATTACACTAAACTCGGTCCTAAAATTTCTCCACCAGATAACCCGTTATTCGCGACTCCAGCGACCTATAGGGGGCGCCACCACCAAATAAACATGGCGGCTGAGTCCAGGTCGCGTCGGCTCGGCCGGGCCGCCTGAACAGGTGGTGCGTTCAATTTAACAGATTTTATTTTGTTTAATGCCCAATTTTATAGGTTTTTGAACTGAGACGGTTAAGTGTAGCCGGTGCACATAAACTTGCAGAGCATAGTTTTGTTTTCCAATTGTGTTTTTTGTTCTTTTCATGTCAAACTTTCGTTTCGGAGATTTCGTTCGAAACCGAAACTATGGGCTCTGGAGAGACGGTAATATACTAATCAGTTTTGATCATCTAAGGCAAGCGGCAATGAATGCGGAATTCTCCCTCCGACAGTAATTTTCAGCCAACTCGCATGCCTCGACCATGCGACTTATCTGTGCGCGAAATCGAGCTTTTGTGCATATCCGCGTTTAAGAAACAGCTTCAGTCGTATGCTCGGTCAACAACACAGGCTGCAGGAAAATTGCGAAAATTAAGCAAGCGCTTCTTGAGCCAAGGAGCATGTTACCCCGCCGGCACCCCACTAAGCCGCTGATACTCGTATTTCAATTCAGGTTTTAGTAGCAATCGAGAAGTCATTTTGACGAGCGGGTTATGTATTATATTACGTACTAGGGGGGGGGGGGGAGGGGGGCAGGGGGTCTCACTAAAGCAATATTAGTATATTCTTCGGTTTGAAATATGAGCTTAGTTGACTAGCTATTAGGTGAACTGCTGAATAAAAATATATTTGACAGACAGAGAGATACTAAGTTAAACTTAACCAAATGGTTCTAGCCGGTAGCACGGAGACGAATGCGGACAAACTGAAGAGAGTCTTCATTGGAGATTCACGCAGAACCTCTCTGCATTGAACTTGACTTCGAATCCTGAACAGAAAAAATGAGTATTTTTGTGGTCGGTCAACCTGAGCAATGTAGACGTATATTGCTGCTGGCTTAATTCGACGGGGGTATAATATAAATATTGGAGGCGCGATAGGTCAAAATGCCGTGACAGCATGTAACGTTGCGAGACGTGTCCCCCCACCTTTTGAAAACAGATAATTCCCCTCATTCATCATTTGCAGCGAGCAGGTTTTCCTGAATCAAGTAATTGCGAAATCAGTCCAACTCCTTCAGAGTGGTCCAGAGGATTTTTTGGCGAAAAGCAGCCAAGATGAATAGCCAACGCACCGACCGGCGTGGGTGGCTCAAACTTGAAGCTAATCGAACACAATCAAACTCAAGAAAAGCAGCTATCGAACCTTCCCATTCACTTGACTGCAGCATTGGTGTTCCCTCCAGTGAAATGCCTCGTCTGTCGTCCTCCCACTGTTCTACATCCTGATAAAGAAACCCCTTATCGGTTACCAAGTAGTCGTCATTTTGAATGTGATTCGAGACAGACAAGAAATCAAAACGTTTTTTCCGCGATTCCTCCCCATCCAAGAAATCGAAAACACGTGATGGAGGGAAACAATCTACTGAAGTTTCGCCACACTAATGAAATTCCCGGACCTTCGTTAAACGACATTGTTCACCACCGCGCCGACAACACGTGCCCGCGAAAGCCACCAGAGGCGCGGAGGGGCGCGGAGCGACCTGGACCGGCTGGTTCCCGGTTTTCCCGCTTGGTGGCGTCCGTTTTGCTGGAGTCGCGAATATTGTCCTTGTAAGTAATTTTTAATCAATTTATTCGTGTGCGGGGCGCTTTGTGACACACCTTTAATATGCCTGCTTTAAGTGCGCTTGAAACTGGGTTTTAAGGGCTTTCACAACGAACTGATGAAATAATCGAGAAATCGGCTGGCAATCTCCACTCTGCGCGTGCCCAACAGCGTGCACTGGTTCGCCGAGTTTCTAAAAGAGTTAAATCGGAGAGCCTTTTGGCAGCATTCCCAAGAAGGGGTATACTGTACTTTAATGCATTATACCCCATTTTCTTGGGAGTACCTATAAATACTTCCAATGAGTGTATCCCTTCAAATGGAGAAAAAAATTTTCGACACGCGGTTACTTCTTTGTTCAAACCAGCGTTTTATTCAACCAAAGTTTATTGCTGAGCCCTCATGGTCGTGCAAAAAATTACTAAATAATTTGCGAAAAAAAAGAGAAAATAAAAAGAGCACAGTCAATAAAACCAGTTTTCAAAATAATAAACATAAGCAACAAATCTTACAAACTAATAACACACAAAGAACTGACTTTCTTAACATTGCTGCTATTGAAAGACCTTAGTTATTTTATAAGTTCGTATATTTATGGTCATGACTAGGCCGACTTGTAAGGTACAGTGCTAATCACACTTGTCTATAACGCGCGGGCGTGCTGCATTCTCCGGGGAGCGCTGGGCTGGTGGCATTCGCGGAAAATAAGCTAGTCACGTGGCGCAACATGGAACGGCCCGCTCGAGGGGTGTTCTGCCCACTCTATCAGCTGGCGGCGAACGCGGAAGGCTGCTCGCACGCTTTTTACAAACATCATTGCTCGAACAATAAACAGACTAAAGCATGATGGCGTATCAACGATGTCGTCATCAAAAACCAAAAATATATCATAAAGCACTTTATTTTTATCGCTTATCAAGCTGATACAGTGGGCAGGACACCCCTCGAGCGAGCCGTTCCATGTTGCGCCACGTGACTAGCTTAGTTTCCGCGAATGCCACCAGCCCAGCGCTCCCCGGAGAAAGCCGCTCGCTTGCGCGTTATAAACAAGTGTGATGAGCACTGTACATAAGTGACCTTACAGACAACACAGAAACTTCAGGTGCATCACGTGATTAATGACTCTAAATGAATAAAAAAAGATAAGGCTTCAAATATTTTCTTTTTTTCGTGTACAAAAGAGTGAAAGCCGTTTACAACTCCCTGTAATGCCGAATTGGAGGGCAGCTCTTGAGGAGGAGGAGGGAAGGGTACTGAGGGCCGCGTGTTCTCGAAGGGGGGGGGGGGGGGTCACGTGACCCCCCCCTCGAGGTCACGTGACCTCGGGGTGGGTAAATTTTTTCCGCTACAATTAACGGGGAAATTTTTTCCGCTAGATTTAGCGGGGAAATTTTTTCCGCTAGATTTAGCGGGGAAATTTTTTCCGCTAGATTTAGCGGGGAAATTGTTCCGCTAGATTTAGCGGGGAAATTTTTCCGTTAGATTTAGCGGGGAAATTTTTTCCGTTAAATTTAGCGGTGAAACTTTTCCGCTAGATTTAGCGGGGAAGTTTTCCCGCCAGATTTAGCGGGGAAATTTACCCATAATGCACCGCGCGGTTACGCCAACGGCGACGCCGCTCAAGCCGGAAACGGGCGCCTAAGAGCTGCGCTCTAAAAAGACCTCTGGTCGCTTCGTCTAAGGGAAATTCACATTTTTTATCTGTGTTTGCGCAATAAATAACAGGCTGAAACATTTTGAACTGTGAAAAACACACACTGCTTGCAAGTAGAACCGCTGCAGGTCTATCGCCAAGCCAAATGAACACACGTCGGTGCTAGAGTATTTCGTTTAAATCCCTTCCACAACTATGATGCACGTTGCTGTTTCGATAACTTGCGATGTATCTTCCGATGAGCGTGTAAATTGCTATGAGCCGCGAACGCTCTACCGCAGGTCTCACACTTGAACGGCTTCTCTCCAATGTGAGTCCTCTCATGATTCGCCAAGCGAGTTTTCTGAGTGAACGCCCTGCTGCACCTGTACGGCTTCTCTCCGGTGTGACCCCTCACATGCATCGTCAAATCGCATTTCTGAGTAAACGCCCAGCTGCACGTGTTGCACTTGAACGGCTTCTCTCCGGTGTGAGTCCTTTCATGATTCGCCAAATTGGTTTTCTGAGTGAACGCCCTGCTGCACGTGTTGCACCTGTACGGTTCTCTCCGGTGTGAGTCCTCACATGCATCGTCAAATCGCATTTCTGAGTAAACGCCCTGCTACACGTGTTGCACTTGAACGGCTTCTCTCCGGTGTGAATCTTCTCATGAACCGCCCAGTGGCGTTTGTGAGTAAACGCCCTGCTACACGTGTTGCACTTGAACGGCTTCTCTCCCGTGTGAGTCCTCTCATGACTCGCCAAATTGATTTTCTGAGTGAACGCCCTGCAGCACGTGTTGCACTTGAACGGCTTCTCTCCGGTGTGAATCTTCTCATGAACCGCCAAGTTGTGTTTCTGAGCAAAGTCCCTGCTGCACGTGTTGCACTTGAACGGCTTCTCACCGGTATGAGTTCTCTCGTGATTCGCCAAGCTGGTTTTCTGAGTAAACGCCCTGCTGCACGTGTTGCACTTGAACGGCTTCTCTCCGGTGTGAGTTCTAACGTGAGCCTTCAAGTTAGACTTATCCGTGAACGTTTTCTCGCAAACATCGCAACTGAAGGGCCTCTCTCCAGTGTGAGTCCTCTCGTGGATGGCGATACCCGCTGCAGAAAGACATGAGTGAGGACAGAAGCGGCACGGGTGCTTGTCCGGGTTTCGGTGCGTTTGGTGCTTTTGTGGGTTGGTTGGGGGAGAGGTGTCACCCCTGCGGCTGTCCTGGTCGAAGGTATCCACTTTGTCGCCAGAGTATGCTTCGATCAGGTCTGTTGGGATGACAGGACAAAGCAAGAAATGTCGGCGCTGTTTTTGTTGTTCTGAACATGGGAATTTTGAGTACCTAGATGAACATGGTCCAGAATACCTACATCATGCCGGTGCAGCGAAGAGTAGGTATTCATTCATTTGAGATGTTAAAAAGGTTCATTCGTAATGCTTGTAAAGGTCTATAGGCAATCGTTTAAGATTCCACTCTGGCAGCCCCATGCTGCGGCAGCTGTGGTGGCTTGCGCATTCTCCTAACCAAGTGCGGAAGGAAAGTCAAGCCGCCACGGCTGCTGCTGCACAGTGTTGGCGGTAACGTGTTACAAGTAACGTCGTTACCGGTAGCGCCTTTTTTCTTTCAGTAACGTAGTAACGTATTCATTAGTTTTCTAAATCTACAAATTTTATAAATTTTTCCAATCTTTTCCCCACGAAAAAATTTCCGCTTTAGAAAAACCCCAACCAGCGCCTCTCATGTTAAAGTCGAAACACGCTGTCGCCAAAAGAAAACAAAAGCGCTGTTACCGTCAATTTATAAAAAAAAGTAACGCAAAAGTAACGTGCGTTACGTTCTATCGGCGACAGTATCGCGTTCCTTTATTTCGCAAGTAACGTAGTTCTTTACTCTTTTACGGTAACGACTACAACACTGCGGCTGCTTACCGCTGCCAGTACGAAGCGCCGGGTGATAGCGTGTCGACATTCATAATGATCGCGACTGTGTTTTAGTGACGCTGGAAGGGTCATTCACACACCCACAGATTATTAGGTTACACAAAATAGCATTCAATAAGCTCGTGGAACAGGGATGGGCAAAATACATGCAAATATGTATCGAAATACAAATACAAAATACTTCGTCAAAAATTTATTTAATTACAATTCTAATTACATTTCCAAAAAAGCATTTAACTACAAGATACAAATACAGTCAAACGTATTTGGTCTCCTTCAAATACCTTTTCAAATACATTCCTCAAAATTTGCGTCAGCGACTTCAGGGCACCGCAACGGGTTTCTGGTTATCTCATTTTAATTTTGCATCGCACACTCGGGAGTTAGTGTGCGAGGCTCTAGTAACGTAATTGAAATATAATCACAAAAAATGTAATCAGCTTGGACGTAATAGGTTAAAAAAGTACAGAGCTTCAAGCAGAATTTTTTGTCGATTACATTTTGGTATAGACCAACAAAGAACAGAGACGACCAAGATGCGCAGCACTAGCTAGAGAATTTTTTATTGCTGCAACTCGCACCAGTTACGACAATCTGGACGACCCGCGCATTTAGAATGTTCCAGGCAAAAATATGAATGGAAATCAGGCTGGAAAGCATCACACGTTGTCACGGGCACTTGTTTAGCTAGCCTGCCTGTGAACGTCGATTTCGTCACTATTCTTGCCCTGGACTAGCACCGTAATCACAAAGTCACTAAACGCTTGTGCTTGATTGAGAGACACTGCATTTGGCGCAGAACGTAGTTTTCTTCCTGCTCTGGACAATGACAATAAATTTGAGGGATGTATTTTCGCCCACAAAATTGTATTTAATTACAATTGTATTTGAAATACCCACGTTTTAATATTTAAATACACACTTCAAATACATTACCCAATTTGTAATTAAATACAAATGCAAAATACACAAAGTATTCAAAATACGTGTTTCAAATACTTGTATTTGAAATACTGCCCATCCCTGTCGTGGAATAATCGTTGTGCACCTTAGAAACTTGAAAAATCGCTAAGGTACACAGTGATTATTTTACGAGTGATTTGAAACAGCAAAAAACGCGGTTCTATATCGACAATGATGTCGACATTTGCCAGCCTATAGCTAAACTTCTAAAGCAGGGGTGGCCATACTGACCCGGCCTAAGACCAGCAAACGAAAACCCCCAAACTTCCAAGAGCCGCAAGGGGGGGGGGGGGGGGCAGGCAAACTTTTGTTTGGTGCAGTAAACGAAACTCGAGCAACTTTCTTTCAATCAATCCGAGTAAAAAGCAGTCCGACTGTACGTAAGGCAGCAGTAGCACAAGGCTACCAAACTGCAACCTGTCTTTCGATTTAAAGCGCGGTCCATTTCACTTTTTATGGGGGGGGGGGGGGGGCGGTGAAGCCGCGAGCCGCACTTTAACACGCGAAAAGCCGCAGCTTGGCCACCCCTGTTCTAAAGCTTCAATCATTTGGAACAGCCGAACATATTTTGGGCTATTTCATGCGTCGAAAATTATTTATAGCATTTGTGAAAGCTACTAGATCAACCGGAACTGAAGGAAAAAATAGAAGTTTGTAATATAAATAACCAACTCGGCATGGTACATTTCTCTGATATCAAATACTATGTATGTGGTATATTTTTTCGGTTTGGTGCAGACCGCTAATTAAAACTTAATGAAGTTTCCACGTGGAGAAAACTTTGTCTACCACATCAGAGTCCTTACGTTTTCCACCTTCTAAAAAACCGAGCCTACAAAAAGCTTTTCTATCCGTGTGAGATCGTTCATGAATCTGTGAGGGTGTGCTAAGAGGGTACGAGGCTGTTTGACTGTTTTCCCGTGTGCTTCTTCTCATACCTGGTGTTGTTAGTTCCGTGGGCACCATAAGATTGGCGGCAGAAGTCGCACCGCCGTCCGTCCTCCCCTCCTGGTCCATCTTCAATGGTTGCCTCTGCAATTCGGCTCCTTGGAAGGAGAGCTCCGCCCCCTTGTCCTCGTAGTCCGTTCTCTGCCATTCGGAGTCGGATGCTGCGTGGGCAAGTTCTGTTAGGAGTGAAGATCCAATTTTGTTTTGTTCATTTTTTTATACTATACCAATACAGAAGCTCAATCACAACGAAACTTAAGGAACAAGCAAACATAAACACATCATGCTGATGAAGTAGAGAAATTCAGGGGTTTACATTGATATTGCGGTGTAATTCAAGAAGTAAAATAATAATATCACGATCAAACACCCGCACCATAACTTGATACTGAATACACCGAAAACGTCGACTGTAAAAATGCACGTGAATGAAACATAAAAGTGATCCTTCTCTATTAATACGTGCTTCAAAGGTTTTACTTCACCTTTAAACATACGGTAAAAGATTACTTCGATACAGATCTACATAAATCATGAAAGACACAACTGGGTACGATCAAAGAGCGTGGTTTAGTTATATCGCTCCTGCTCTGTAGTGCTGAAAAAAGGCAGGCATGCCACAAAACCAACAACTGCACGGTATATCGCCGCCACAGGTTTTGAGAATTACACGTGAACAAAATGGACATGGTGTGTCGCCGAACGAAGGTAGGGACGGGAATGGAAATGTTGCATGTAGTTGGCCGAGCTGTGGCCATTCCCTATTTGATCCGACTAGTAGGTCCCATTTATCTGGGGAAAAACGTAGCCCAAGGTTCTGGCACTGCCATAGGTTGGTCTGGCTGGTGGCTGGCACTCTTTCCCAGGCAGCGAAGGATCGCTCACGCTTGCTTTAAGAGGATTTCCGGATAGTTGGGCCTGCAAAGTTTAGAAGGATGAGGGTTAATAAACAGTCGCCAACACAAAGTTACTTTACCTGCCCTCAAATAGCATCACATTGGATGAGTGACACTAAAACTGAAGGATACCAGTGCCTGGAATTGGTCCAGTTGGCTATTCATTACTTGATTAAACTGCGCAGTAAATGATTACGAATTACGACGCAGAGACGAGAAAAAAGAAGGCAACAAATGGGAAAACGCGCATTTGCAGTTCAGTTTAATCAAGTAAAAAACTGAAGGCCAGTTTCGAGATTAAACAGGGCATAAATAATAACACCATTTGTCAGTAGGAGGGTATCTGCGAGAAATTTCAATCTGAAAGACGCGAAAAAAATAAGTCCCATGTGACTACACCATTTCCAAGTGTGAATGTTTTGGCCAAATGACACTGACCATTACTATTTCCACGAGAGATGTTTCATTATATATGCAGCATCAAACCGCTAGCAAGGAGGAAAATGTTTGCCGGTTCCGTCTGTGCCGCATACACGCGACTAATGCCACCATTTATAAAATGATATGCAGTGTAGATCAATCATTCAGTCTCGCATTTTGTCAACAACTAACATAAGCGGGGCCCACTTAGGGAGAACGAGTTTTAACTGAGATACTTGGTTCACGTTCACGAGTTCCCCATAGAACCGCATTGGTAAAAAGCCTTTTAGATCATCCTGAAGTTGAATATAAAACGCTATAATTTGGTTAAGGAATCTTCATTATAAATTTATCACCATTCAACACGAGTACAAAAGTTTACAGTCCCTATTGAAAAGCAAATGTTTTTTTTTTATTTCTTTTTATTTCTTCCAACTCAAGACAATCTTGAGTGGCTTTCTCCTCTTGATCTTAAGAGAAGGTGAAACGCTTCTTCCGAAAAATGAGATAGAGGTTGATTTCTGCGTTGTTTGATCCCGTAATTCTAAAGATTTTGTTCGTTTTCCTCGAAGAAGTAACTAAACGCGAGAACACGCGATAAACGTCCGACCAGTCGTTACGTCATAAAAGGATCTTTCGGCCGCCATGCGCGTGTCGCTCGTGAGCAATCGCAGGCTTGCCACTCCCCCGCACTGGCAGCAATCATGACGTCTTTTTTTGTTTTGTTTTTTCCTTTTTTAAAAATAGGAAGAGTCGCGTGCATAACTTCGATAGGCACTGAAGATGCGCGAGAGCGGAGATTCGGAAACTCCTTTCATGACTGCACGCTCCGGGAAGGAGGGGCTTCAGCGGTACTTTAAAAATTATTTTCTGCTGCCTCCATGCATGAAATTGAAAAATAATTTCAACATTGGGCTTCCTGGAAGCCGAATTAAGAAAATATAAGTGTGTTTTCTCAATTACAAGACCGCTTCAGCTTCCCTTTGAAGACATCTTATCTTCGAGACCGCCATAGCTTTACACATTTCGAATCCCTCGTTAGTTCATTCGTAGTTTTGTTTATGCATTTTTAACAACTTCAACCCACCTCCTCTCTAAAGTCTTCCCGGACCCTGAGTGCATGGTTCAGGCTGGAACATGGCTCTTATTACTGATTCTGTTCAGCCCTGTTCCGCCAGCTTTTCAAGACCAACTTTAGGTGTCTGTTTTGGTACCTGGTGAGAGCGATAGCATTCTCGGTTACTGATTGGACATGACGCCTCAGCGTTTTGCTGTGCGAGAGTTATCGACAAGTGCGAAGTCATGTCACTAGATAATCTCTAGTCTGTTCGTGAGTCCTTTTGGTGAGGGCTTCTCACTAACACACGGATGGTGACAGGGTTTTCGAGGTATTTAAAGTGTTTGTACCGAGTACTGCATACATAGGAGAACTTGACCTAAATAGGGCAGCAGAGCTGGAAATTTGCAGAGGGAGCGCTTGTTGTCGACCCCATCGAACGGAAAGTATAGCAGACCATCTCAGTTTCAGCTTGCGTCCCGTATCACTTCCTCGCGGCACTCGGCTTTTAGCAGACGGCTGCCTTTATTCCGGTCCGTTAACAGAATACGTGAAAGTATTTTCTTGTTCTATTTTTGTCTGCGAATGCCTCTTCGTAGCAGACGAATTCTATTGTTCACTCGCGTTAGCAGACTAATCATCTTCTGACGTTTTCTTGACTCGCTCCGTAAAGTCCCGGTAAGACTGCTCGTACAGCAAGCAAAAAGCAGTCTGCAAATACCATCTCAGGCGCGTTTCTTTGTCGTGTCATCTCACATTGGGCCTACCAAAACTGTCTGCGGACGTGTTCAAAGCACCCATACGTGTGTGCTTTGAACAGATCTGCACATATTTTTCTTACGACCCAATATGAGAGTACTTTCATAAAGGAACGAATTTTGGCAGTTGACACACTTGTCACTGCTTACGACCGGAGGGGCTTGTGAACCATCTTGTGACTGCTGATGACCGGCCGCTGCGCTGCAGGTCATAAGAAGTCGCCAGTGTTTTAAGCATCTGCGGTTGTAAGCATGACAATAAAAAATTAGTATACCTGCCTTTACTTGAGCAAACAATAAAGCAAACACGCAGATAGTGCACGTTGCTTCACCGTTTTAGAAATAAGGCACCACTTTCAGAAATTCTACATAATAAACCAAAAGTAACCCACACTATTTAGTTTGTCCGCATTAAGGCATACTTTGAGGGATTGTACAGTTTCAATCAATAAATGTATGAAAGGCTTTGAAAGGGGTTGGAGGGGCCCCGGGGGGGAGAGGGGGGGGGGGAGGGGGGGGGGGGGTGAGGGCGGTAAATAAATAGGCAAAGTGAGGTGAGGCAGACAATTGAAAGTTTACACGCAGCAGGCTCAACTGTAGTCATTTCATTTGATCTGACTCTGTCGCATACGTGTGAAGAAAAAAATGTAGCACAAAGACGTTGCACCACCGAAGGGGGACTCGGCTGGTGACAGGCCACCTTTCCAAAGCTGCGAAGTGTCGTTCACATCTGCGTCCAAATTCCTGCCGAGTTTGATCTGCAAGGTTTAGAAAGACGACGGTTAATAAACAGGAAAGAACAGAAAGCGACAATACTTGTTTGTACCTTTAACTACATATATTCAGCAAACTGAAACTGGGTTCGAAATTTAAAAAAACAAGCATCGCAAATGAGGAATGAAAGAGTACAATTAAGATTTGCATTTGAATGAGATGAGTATGCACTTATCACCCCAACCAGGTAATATTCAGAGCGAACCTGGAGAATCAGTACACAAGATGTATCGTCCACTTCAACCGCTGCTATACTATGCTGTGATTGAAATTCTGTTCTCGTGAATTTGACACGCCGTATTTCGAAAACACAATGAGTATTAAAACTTGGTTTGGGGCTCAAGCGTATGAAGATGCGACCCATTAGGTCTCAGATTAATGAGGGTGAATGCAGTACAGCTGCGTTTGCATCTTCGGGTGTCAGTCGTCCCAGCTCTTTCTTCTTCTTAAAAGTTGTTTAGATTTCGAGATCTGCTGTGTGAATCTTCTTTCCTTCGTCATTCTGTACTGCCTTGGTCGACTGTTAAAGAGACACATCATGTATGAGATTAATAAATTGTGGTGTTTTCTAGCTGAGTAACAACCTTAGGTGTCTACTTCTGCCGGTTGATAACTCCAGTCCTGAACAACAAGACAACAAGGCTAAAGAGGCAGCGGTGGCTCCAGAGTAGAATGCCTGAATGTTGCCAGGCGGCCCTCACAGAGTGGTGGCAACACTTGCATCTGCTAACGGAGACGCCACCTTATCTTCCGACACCACAACCTATTGTCCCGACACTACTACCTATTGTCCCGACCAGCCCTTGCGGAAGGATATGAAGATCGACCGTATGCATCAAGTTCCCGTTTCTCAAGAACGGTTCGACAATCGTGTGGAGTCGTTTGTGGTTGAGGCGCTAGAGTCATATACTAACAGCTGTGATATACTAACAGTGAAACGCAAAATAACTAAAACTAACGTAAAAGTAACATTTCTTAGTAATGGCAAGTAAGGACACCGGTAAATCGTTGCATTCGAAAAATGGTAATGGAGCCCTGTAACACGTTAGCTTTTTTTGAAGCTAACGAGTAACGATATTTTGTTACTTATTTTCGGTAATGGACACAACACAGCCAGGAATCCTCTTGCTGTTCAGGTCCGATAATAGCACGAGGCTCGCTGGAGCGCGAACGTTATCGCCGGCACGGCCCTTGAGTGACGCAGACAGGCCCGCACAAAGAAGCGCCACGAGCTGCATGAAGAAGCAAAAGGGATTAGACGACTGCATTGCTAGTACATTCACATGCCCACTGAAGGGTAAAGGAGAATACCAGTTGCTTTTAAGTTGCGCCAAGAGTGATGTCGATGTTGATGGAGATGATTGAGCCGCCATTGCCGACCTTCTGTTTTCTTACCGAGATGTCGAGCTACTGAAGCGGGCGTTGACGAGCCTCCGCAAAGGCCTATGCTGGAAAGAAGGACACAACAACAGCTAAAGGAGCAATAATTGACCTGTCCTTCTGTGGCAATGATGAAGTGAAGTGATCGGAATAAAACAACAAAAACGGGAGGTCTGTTATTTCGGCGAACATCCACAACTGCCTGAAAGCGTATATAGGGAGCATTCACTGGACGCCATATTTGTGGGTACTGACGTCATTTTGGCCTTTGTAGGCATTGTAAAGAGGAAATTTAGAACCATACACGCATGATGATAACATCATAGCACACTGACATTAAGTAGCACAAAACGGGCCCAGCTACAGAAAATAAATATTACACTCGTAAGAAATAAATACGTCTGTAACTTGTTAATTACAAAGACGAACACACCTCTGAGCATCTTAGTTTAATAGTATGTTTTGATGCATTGTTATATTGCAGGACATTTCATATACGTCACTTGAGCAAACGCCAGTTTTTCACTTGAAAAACAAACCAAAAAACACTGCGATCAAATGCAAGCCATTGCAACGAAAGCAAGTTATATTAAAATCTTCAGAACTGCCAATTCGTAAAATTGGCGATTAGTAAAAAAGGTTAAAGATCGCAGGAGCTTCCTCGCTAAAAATTGCTGTGATTATTCGGTGACCCAGGGCTGAAACAATTTCCCCAAGGCCCTACACGCGCCGTATACCTTTCGTTATGATACTCAGAAATTCAGACTTTCGAAGGAAGCTAGAAAAATGTAAATTTTATCCTAAAAGCTATGTGGAGCGCAAGTTTGTTCGTTTGCTTCTTTTTGCAGGGGTTGTGGTGACGTCAGAACGCCGAGATCTGAGTGGCTCCGATTGAAGGATAGTGGGTAGACCTCCAAGCAAGCTGCCTTGAGGCCTTAACCTATCGGCAACGTTACTAAAACACTCAGTTGGGAATCTCGCGTCGAAGCCTGGGCCGCTGGCGTCCACCGAGACCGAGCTAAATGCGACAACAGCGCCACTCTTTATCGTTTGTCTGTACTGTGGTCACCTTGAGCTTCTTGAAAGCCTGTTTTTGCGTATAAACAAACGGAAAACACTCTTTTTGTATGAAATTTATTGGAGTTTAGTACAAAAAGAGGGGCGCGTTATGTTTCTAAAATCTTTAGTTTGCAGGGTTTTGCGGCACAATTAATATTGTTTTTATACAACCATACCTCAGCGGTCCTCTCAGGTAGCGCGTCCTGACCTAGGTGCATTTTAACTTGGGTAGTTCGACGCGGCGCGTCCGCCGGGGAGACGGGGGTGGCACCCCTGTAACCTCTTTCGCTGTATCTGTTCTTAAAGCCGAAATGGCAGTATAACGTGCAGTTCCTCGAGTGGCCGCTGCGGGAGAAATGGTGGCGTTGTGTTCGTCATTAGCTCGGTGCTCGGAGACAGATTGGGGCCAATGTTTCAAAGCTGTCTCTGTGGGAGTTCCCCAACTGAGGTGTTTTAGTAACGTTGCCTATCGGTTTCTTAACCTATCGCGCTACGACTTTGTGCAGCGTTGCCCACAGATGGTGCTTTTTTTTTTTGTAAAATTTGCGAAGAGCGAACTTACCTCAGTAAAAAGTAAAGAAAGAAAAAGGCTTAGCTCCTATGAAAACGCAGCGACGCCACCGGTCTGCAAACAACACGGCGCCGTTTTGCAAGGGAGACAAGAGATGGCGCAACAAACGCCGCCAACGAACAAGCATACGGCACCGAGAGCAGGCCTTTTAACAGACGATCTTCTCGACTCAAATCGGCGCGCGTTCCGCAGGCGGCGACAGTCGCAGAAACAAAAAAGACAGGCGCGGTAACAGTTTCTTTTCTGCAAAAGGGCCGGCTCTCGGCGTCGTCTGCTCGTTCGTTGGCGGCAGCATAGAGTTATTATAATGTACGCTAGAGGTTCAACTAGTGCTAGTGTCTATGCGACTTCCGTGACGCAAATTGAAGCAGACAGCAACCAGTCTACTTTTGCGGTGCTCCTGTGCATTCCTATGGGAAAACGCGCGTGCATTTTGTCTCTTCGCAGGAATATAACACGGAACAATTTGGTTATTTGGGTCGCATCGAATAGTATGTACCTTGATTGACACTCTAAAAGTGTAATTGCTTTAGTTAGCGCATTTTTCTTCATCAGTGAACGATGTTTAACTTCGCTACATTTCAGTCCTAAACGTGTGTTCCGCAGCAGGTGTGTAAAAACAAGCGACGATACGAAGCAAAATTACAATCGAAAGAAATATAGAGTGTGTTCAAGGCTCGCCAGCATTCCGGTGACGCTTATATATTGACAATATGCCAGTCCTGTCACTATATGAAAATGACCCCGTCGTACATGAGCGGATAAAAGCATTTAAAACGTAGATAATAAAGTCCGTGGGCTATGAAAGGTGCCTCTTCGTGTTATTTTCTCTGCCGGGCAGCTTTTATCGGGCACTTGCTCTCAAAGATTTCGAGCGTGCGGGTGATCTTTTAAAGGGGCACTGACACATCTAAATCATTTTTTTTTTAATCCGAAACGATTGAAAACGATGCCGGGACATTACCCTCAAAATTTGAAATTTGGGAATTCAGTACTTGTGAAGTAAAAAAACAATTTCCAAATGCCGAATTCGAAGTTCCCGCGCGATCGGCGCCGGTGCCTTGACGTCAAAAATTGCGGAGCCCTGAGAGTCTACTTTCTTTCACCACTCCCTGCTGTTGCCATGGCGACCTAAAGCGAGGAGGAAAGGAGCGGGCGCCGGCGTTGCGGCGGACCGGTTTTGAGCGGTGCGCCTGTTTTCCGTTGGAGGATGCAAATCCAGGAGGCGGCACCACAACGAACTCCAGATTTTCGGTATTTCAAAAAGAAGGGCCGTAGTGCGTTCGTAATTGCGTTAAAAAACATGTTTTAGGATTGCCGTAATTAAATGTTATAGAGATGTCGCTTACAAAGCTTTTAAATTTTATGATTCTTGACGTCACCGATCAAAAGAAGCGAGGAGGCGAGAAGCGGGAAAATCAAACGCCAAAAATAAAAAGGCGCGCGCGCGCGCGCGGGAACATTTTTTTTCGCGATGCGGTTTTTTTTTTGCGTGTTTATGACTGCAACTTGCATCGTTTTAGACAATAAAAATAAATACGACCTTTGGGGTGTCAGTGCCCCTTTAAGCGCACAACAAGCAGCTTCGCTCAGAGCAGAGGCATAAAGCGGTACTTACTTATTTAAAATCGGAATAGATTGCGTGGCCTTCAATTTATTTTGATCGTACATGCACGTGTAGTTACTGATTCAGCGTAACTGCGTAGTTCTTGCCGTCTTTCTTAATTTCCAGATGCTCTTCGTTCGTTTGGCACGTATATCCCCCTCGCTGAAAAGCGCCGACGCCGTGTTCGCGCTAACAGTGCCAAACAAGCCAAAGCTTGTGCGATACACGGAAACGAAGCCAGCAGCGATGAGAGCGACATGGCACTGCAGCTGTTGACCTTGAAGTCGTATCTCTCAACAGACGAACAGTTGGTTGCACCTGTGCGCAGGAAATTTTGTTGGGGTGGCGCCGACATCGTCATGGAGGTGGATACAGGTTCGCCGGTCTGCGTAATCTCAAGGACGTATATGACAGGCACTGCCATGGCTGGCCGAAGATGGAACGTTCGAGACTGAAGTTGTCATGCTACCTGGGGAAGCTGCCGGTGGCTGGTAAGCTTACGCTTGCCGTCAAGTATTGTGACCAAGAGGTGACGGCGACACTGACAATCCTAGACTGCGCAGGTCCAAGTTTATGTGGACGCGACTTAATACAAAAGTTGAACTGTCTTGGAACACCTGTTTTGAATTTAACGGCGGCAACCGAAACCGCGCAGGACGTCGAGCTGAAAGAACTACTGTCAGAATACGAGGAGTTGTTCAGTGACGGACTGGGTTTGCTCAAAGGCCCGCCAGCGCATCTATATGTGAAAGAAGGAACTGCACCCAAGTTTTTCAAGGCCAGGCCTCTGCCATACGCCATGCGTGACAAAGTGTCTAATGAACTGGACAGACTTGTCAAAAACGGTGTTATCTCTGCGGTTCCTCACGCGGACTGGGCAACACCCATTGTCCCTGTCCTAAAAAAGGATGGGACCATAAGAATTTGCGGCGATTTTAAGTTGACCGTGAACTCAGCCTGCTGCACCGAGCAATATCCACTCCCCGTAATCGACGACCTGTTCGCGGCACTCAATGGGGGCGACAGGTACAGTACGGTGGACCTTCGAGATGCGTACAATCAAGTGCCACTCGATGACGAATCCAAGAAGTTAACCGTCATCAACACGCACCTTGGTCTCTTCTGTTTCAACCGGCTGCCATTCGATATTTCTTCCGCACCCGCTATCTTCCAGCGCAAGATGGAGAGCCTGCTGCGAGGAATACACGGCGTACAAGCGTATCTCGATGACGTCATTGTCTCGGAGAGAAGAAAGGAAGACAGGAGCGTGCTCAAGCAGGTGCTGCAGCGTTTCAAGGAGAACGGAGTCAAGCTGCACAGAGGGAAGTGTAACTTCTGGCAGGACGAAGTCTGCTATCTCGGGCACCGCATCAACAAGGACGGCCTACACCCTACGGAAAAGAACCTGGCGGCTATAATGGAAGCAAGGAGCCCGAAGAACGTAAGTGAACTCCGCTCTTTCATAGGACTTTTGACCTACTACAGCAAGTTTCTGCCCAACATGGCTACCCTCTTGGCGCCACTGTACAACCTTCTAGCGAAGAATCAACGCTGGAAATGGGACCAAGCAGAGGAGCATGCTTTCAGAAAGGCCAAGCGGGTGTTATGTACGGCAGATGTTCTTACGCATTTTGACCCGTCCAAAGTTTTACGTCTCGAGTGTGACGCATCGCCTTATGGGGTAGGGGCTGTGTTGTTCCATAGTTTCGGACACGTGGACAGACCAATAGGATTCGGGTCCCGGACGCTATCAAAGGCGGAAAGAAATTATTCGCAACTTGAGCGTGAAGCATTAGCCCTAGTGTTTGGGGTAACCAAATTTAGAGATTATCTGTTGGGGCGGGACTTCACGCTCGTTACCGACCACAAGCCCTTGGTAGGGTTGCTGAGGGAGGACAGACCTACACCTGTCATGGCGGCGGCCAGAATTCAGCGCTGGGCGTTACTGCTAGGGGCATATCAGTACAAGATAGAATACAAGCCGGGGCCCCAGAACCAGAACGCTGATGCGCTGAGTCGTTTACCGATAAATGTTCCTGACAAGGAGACGCACGAGCTGCCAAAATATGTGCTTTCAGTTAACCAACTCCATGATACTATTCTGTCGGCACAACGATTGCGGTCACTAACCTCGGAGGACCCGCTACTGTCCAGGGTGAAAGACTATGTGCTGCACGGATGGGCAAAGCACCTAGAGGATGACGACCCACAAAAGCAACCCTTCTTTCACAGGAAGTTGGAACTCACCGTAGCCCAGGGTTTGCTCTACTGGGGGCACCGGGTCGTCGTGCCACAGACAGCACGTGGAGCGATGCTAAAAATGCTGCACGAGACCCATCAAGGAGCATCGGCGATGAAGGCGGTCGCGCGGACACTTCTTTGGTGGCCAGGGCTCGATGGTGAGATTGAACATCTTTCCCGGAGTTGCACTGCCTGTATCCAGGCACGGCCGATGCCGCCATCATATGTTCCGGTGAAGTGGCCGGAGACGGGAGAAAAGTGGTCGCGATTACACCTGGATTTCGCGGGACCGGTGTCGGACGCCATGATATTAATTGCAGTGGACTCTCACTCAAAGTGGATAGAGGCGGTGGCCATGAAGAATTCGACTGCCGATTCTACAATAGCAGCTGTGCGCGAAATGTTCAGCCATTTTGGGATACCGAAGACTATCGTGACAGACAACGGGACTCAATTTACGGCAGAATCGTTCTCTCGATTCCTCGCGGGAAATAACGTAGAACATCTACGCACTGCTCCATACCACCCTCAGTCCAACGGGCTAGCAGAAAGAGCAGTCAGGACGATTAAGGATGGTCTAAAAAAGGTCACGCATGGTAACCTTGCTACGCGTTTGGCTAAAATATTATTCGCGTACCGCCGAACTCCTTTGGCTGACGGTTCTTCGCCATCACAACGACTGCTAGGCTACCAGATCAGATCTCGTCTAGACGCCTGCCTGCCGTATCCTGGTGCTTCATTGGTGCCTTTACAGGAACCCCGTAGCAAGCTGTGGCCCGGAGATCCAGTTTGGGCCCGGAACTTCGGAGAAGGAGAAAGGTGGTTGCCAGGGACGGTAACTACAACGACCGGAGCAAGGATGGTCTCAGTGGACACACCGTCGGGAGAAGTCCGACGTCACATTGACCAGATCCGTTTTCGAGAGCCGCTGGCACTCAAAGTACCAGGGACAGCGGCAAAGACAACGCAAGGCGCTCGACAAGATGCAGTACAAGATACAACACCTGCAGAACCAACCATCAGCACCACCCAGCCGCCAGAGTTGCGAAGGTCAACCAGAGAAAGGAAGCCTGTAGATCCCTATAGCCCCTAGGGGGAAGGAATGCTGTATCAGAGCTGTGTCATGACTCTTGGAAACTTTGTATCATCCTCCAATGTACTTATCATTCTTATCACCACCCTTTCTGTTTTGCACCCGAAGCATCGGCTGCCTATATTATCACGTCCCTGACAATAAACGTTGTTCACAAGTCACAACCCAGCATGTCTCCGTTCGGACGCGTCGTAGCAGACAGTGCACATAAATACACGTACGAAGCCGTTTTAGCACCGTTTTTAATGCGATGAATTTGAAAGAAAAACGCCATAACTGACCAATTATTTCGTCAGCCTGACTGAGAAATGTTCCAAGCTACCTAGTACGTACGAATTATTTGGGATATTTGCTCTTATGATCGAGCGCAGAGAGAAAATGCTCTCACTTTTTCCCATAGAAATGCATTACCGGAAGTCAATTTTGGACTGGTTGCTGTCTGCTTCAATTTGCGTCAGCACACGAGCGCCACTTGAACCTCTAGCGTACATTATAATAACTCTATGGGCGGCAGTTGGCGTCGCGACCGCTTGCGCCATCTCTTGTCTCCCGTGCGAAACGGCGCCGTGTTGTTTGCAGACCGGTGGCGTCGCTGCGTTTCCATAGGAGCTAAGCCTTTTTCTCTTTACTTTTTCCTCAGGTAAGTTCGCTCTTCGCAAACTTTACAAAAAAATGCACCATCTGTGGGCAACGCTGCACAAAGTCGTAGCGCGATAGGTTAAGAAACCGAATTTTCCGGTCGATTTAAAGAGCCTGGCGTCTCCTTGTTTTGCCCTGTAGAATACACTGCAGTAACCATAGTAGCCATTCCCAAAAAACGGTGTCGCGTCGAACGACGGGGAAGACGGGGGGCCGGGGGACGCGGGGGGGGGGGGGGTGTTAATTGCTTGCGCGAACAACGTCTATGGGCAGTGTCATAACTGAGCCGGTCTACAGGGTGATACAAGGAGACGCCAGGCTCTTTAAATCGACCGGAAAATTCGGTTTCTTAATCTACCGCGGTAATACTTTCGCAGCGTTGCCCACAAGTGGTGCATTTTTATTTTTATTTTTTTTGTAAAATTTGCAAAGAGCGAACTTACCTGAGGAAAAAGTAAAGAAAGAAATAGGCTTAGCTCCTATGGAAACGCAGCGAAGCCACCGGTCTTGAAACAACACGGCGCCGTTTCGCACGGGAGACAAGAGATGGCGCAAGCGGTCGTAGCGAAAATGGCCGCCAACGCACAAGTATATGACGCCGAGAGCCGGCGTCTTTAGCAGAAAAGGAACTGCAGTTCCTTGTTGTTACCGCGCCTGTTTTTGTTTCTGCGACTGTCGCCTCCTGCGGAATGCGCGCCTCTTTTGAGTCGAAAAGATTGTCTGCTAAAGGCGCCGGCTCTCGGCGCCGTATGCTCGTTCGTTGGCGGCGTTCGTTGCGCCATCTCTTGTTTCCCGTGCGAAACGGCGCCGTGTTGTTTGAAGACCGGTGGCGTCGCTGCGTTTCCATAGGAGCTAAGCCTTTTTCTTTCTTTACTTTTTCCTCAGGTAAGTTCGCTCTTTCCAAGTTTAAAAAAAAAAAAAGCACCATCTGTGGGCAACGCTGCACAAAGTCGTAGCGAAACTGAATTTTGCGGTCTATTTAAGGAGCCTGGCCTCTCCGTGAATCACCTTGTACACTGATGGCAGAAAATAACACACCGAGAAGGGGCGGATCCAGAGGATTCCCCAAGGGGGGGTTCCAGGATAAAAAAAAAAAAGAGGGGGGTGGGGGGGACACTTGCTGCACACCTCATGACTGTGTTGGATCGTTGTTTAAACACGCGTATAAATGGTAGAGAGAGGTCTTTCCTCCTCAACGACCCGAAGTGTCGCAATTCAAGACAGGATTGCAATATCTCCCGCTTCGTAGCAAGGAATAACGAAATCTTGATTTAAAGGAGCTGTGCAACAATTTCGGTGCTTTGCTTAGATAATTTGGAAGTTGGTGTCTCGACCTTTCGGAAGTAAATAACAAAAACCGCTTTTGCCTGCAAGTCCTAGTTTTTATTTTAAAAATAGACGAAGACTGAGGCTTTCGGCACCTCTCAAGTCTTTCACCTTCTTCCGAGTCACGTGCGCTGTGACGTCAATGGGGGTCGCGCGGGGTTCCAGTAAAGCTGTCTCCCTAGAGCAGTGGTCTCAAACTCATTTGAGTGTGGGGGCCAGATATCCCACACCTGAGAGGTTGAGGGCCAACGTAAGACGCGCGGGGGGGAGGGAGGTTTTGTGTTTTTTTGTAAACTCAAAGTCTTGTCAGTGACATCTTTAGATTTGATTTGTTTATGAGACTACTTTGGGCCTTGACCTGACGTGATAAGAATGAAAATGACACCGCTCCACCAACGTCCTGGCATTTCTAATAGAAGTACACTGTCGTTCCCGTTGCTCAATTCACCCAGGAATTAACCAAGCTCCACACGTCTCGAAAAACAAAGGGTTAATATGATAGTTGTTGTTTTCCTCACGATTTTTACTACAACACCCAAACAAATACTTGTCTTTTAATAATCATGTATTTGAAAGGCGAGAGTCCCGAGCTCGTAGCTTTATCTTTGCCAGTTAAGCGCGAAACACATGTACGACGAAAACCTTCCGATCCGACGTGCGGACTGCCGGAATGACCTTGGGGGGAGAGGGTTTTCGTAGCATCGGAGAGCGCTGAAATCCCTCGCCTCCGACCGTCGTATTGCGCGGTCGGACGTCGGATCGGACGGTTTGGTCGTACATGTGTTTCGCGCTTTACTCCTGCTGATCAAGTTTGCGCAGCCGAAATGCGTCCTTCAACGAATAGCCTCCGCTTGCAGTCTAGTAGCGGAATTGTTGTATGTTACAAAAAGCTGGGAAGCAAAAAGATTATGCGAAACCAGACTTGTACGTAATCCGTTACAAGTAACGAAATTACTTGTAACCCCTTACATTTTTCAGTGATTTAGTAACGGAATAATTACATATTTTCTCGAGTAATTTTAAAGTAATTCCGTTACATTTTTTACGAAACGGATTCCTTGTAATCCGTTACATTTTTTTTCAGGACCAACCCCCCCCCCCCCCCCCCCCCCCCCCCCCGTTCTAAGGACAGGATTGTTTTTATTTTGGTAATGTCGAGCGCAGTGACACTGTCACGCGAGCTGACCAGCGCAGAGGGAGGCTTGGCACTCTTCAGTTCCGCAATGCTTTCTTTGTTTTACAACACCGTTCCCCTGAATCTATTTTTTTTAGACCCTAACAACAATGTAAAAAAATCCAAACAAAACATTTCTACAAAAAAAAAAGGAGGGAGGGGGGCAAGTTATATCCGCTTCTTTTAGTCCCTTTGTTTTTTCTTTGCGATCGAAGACTGGGAGAGGAGGACACAAGTGATTCTGTGCCTCTTCGAGAAGCTCGAGGTCGTAAGTTCACAGAAAACAGTTAACAATGTCCTTCATAATAACCCTGAGACGAAGGAAAAATAAAAAAAACGGACAGTACAGCGAAGTCTCTAACACAGCTTGAAAATTTATTTAACAACCATCGTCTTATATACACCCGTCTCCGACCTCCAAAACAGTTCAAAAGACCTCCTCGCCCACTTCATAGAGTACCCTCACCCTCAACATAAACCGACAAACGCACACAAAACAACCACGCCCAAAACACAAAGGGACACCAACTCGAAAAGGGAAAGCAGGAACTTCCGCAAGTGACAAGGTCAGACCGAACCAAACATCACTTGTAAACTCTTTTGTTCCCCTATCGAAACACAAACAAAATTGCAAAAAAAAAAAAAAAAAAAAAAAAAACACACCCAAAGGAAGAGAAGAATCCGATCCACGAAAGCAGCGACCCAACACTTAACAAAAAAAAAAAAAAAAAAAAACTATAAACCTAGAAACTTTTTTGTTCCCTTATCAAGAGATAATGAAGGATGGCTGATACAGTTTCCGAAGCTTAAAATAAGCTTCGGAAACTGTATCAGCCATCCTTCATTATCTCTTGATAAGGAAACAAAAAAGTTTCTTGGTTTATAGTTTTTTTTTTTTTTTTTTTTTTTTTGTTAAGTGTTGGGTCGCTGCTTTCGTGGATCGGATTCTTCTCTTCCTTTGGGTGTGTTTTGATTTTTTTTTTTTTTTTTTTTTTGCAATTTTGTTTGTGTTTCGATGGGGGAACAAAAGAGTTTACAAGTGATGTTTGGTTCGGTCTGACCTTGTCACTTGCGGAAGTTCCTGCTTTCCCTTTTCGAGTTGGTGTCCCTTTGTGTTTTGGGCGTGGTTGTTTTGTGTGCGTTTGTCGGTTTATGTTGAGGGTGAGGGTACTCTATGAAGTGGGCGAGGAGGTCTTTTGAACTGTTTTGGAGGTCGGTGACGGGTGTATATAAGACGATGGTTGTTAAATAAATTTTCAAGCTGTGTTAGAGACTTCGCTGTACTGTCCGTTTTTTTATTTTTCCTTCGTCTCAGGGTTATTATGGATACCATTCACCAGCTCGCCAGTGTTTTTTACCTTTCTTCACTAACAATGTCCTTCTCGGTTATTGTGACTACGACCATTTTCATAATGTCACAACAAGAGACAACGCTCAGTCTGCCCTAAAATCCACTAAAAGAGATGTGATAATATGTGAAGGTGTTATTGCCACAAGCATCCTCGTTCGTTGCTGCACATTCATCATCTTCTTTTAAAAAACAGGATGTATATTTTTCTGCATCTTTCACATTATTTTACCCTGTTTTAAAAGCTACTTAACTTCTAGGGTGGGCCTTCTTTATTTGTGAATTCCAGCCAGGTTATCTGCATCTCAGTCACCCTTTTATGAGTCAGCTTTTTGCGAGCACTTGGAAAATGGTGAGTCTTCCTTTCTTCTTTTTTCTGTTTTGCCCCAGAAGGACGCATCTCATATCAAGCAGATATTTTTACAAATCAAACATGATGGTGGCTGACGTAGTCTTGATATTCTGTGCTTGAGGGGTGAGTGAAACTCGTGAGTGGGGCCATAGCGCGGCTTACTTAGTACTCTGCCCTTCACTGCCCGTGGCATCAGCGGACGTCTATCTGGAGAACACCGGAGTAAACTGCAGTCGGTTCGTGCTCCATGCGGTTTTGAACGGCACCAAGAAAGGTACACACGGCAAACGTTCGTTTACATTACCTTGTTTTAAACGACGCTCTAAGTTGTTATAAATGTCCTCTTTTTTTAGTGCTTATATTTATATACTAGAAACTTTGTTTTTATTCACCAAC